AATAGTGCACTCTGCACTAAAAACATTGGAAACTATGAGACCTGTGAAATTTGGCTATAAATGTCATGGAATATCCTTTTAGAATACCATTCCACTTGAAAACAAGCCATGGAGGCCTCCAAATTTACTATATAAAGTTTCAGTATTGTATTGCAAGCTACATGTAAAGAGTATTGAAAACTGTCAAATGTGACCTTACCTCCATTATAGACATCTGTAGGGACATGAACAACACTCTTGTTAAAGCTGATGGCATTTTTGAAGGTAGAGTTGTATTCCAATTTCAGACCACTCTTATTTAGATACTTATCCAAATCCTTAGCATTTGGATAGTTTTCTTCACTCAGCTGAAATTTAAAGTAATAAACAAATTAATGTTCAACAATTATTCCACGAGCGCACGTTGGACATGAGATGGTAGATAGTGAACAAGACACATAGTGTCAAGTTGGCTATAATCATCTCAGATCCGACAAGCATGAGAGGAATAATTGTTAAATTATTAGAAACACTTCTGATTATCATCCATCAAATACTTCTGCTCACACGCAATTGGTCTAAATGCATCACATGACTGAATATTCCCCAGCTAAAACTGGGAACATCCAAGTGAAATTCCCCATTTTCAAAAATATTTGAAGGATAATAAACATTCTCTTAGAGAACTGTTCACTTTTCAGAACAGATAATGTCCATGGACAAATATCCAAGCATATTCCCGCCCCATATGGAGGCTATTGTTTATATATAGAGAAAACTAAAATGAAAACATAAAATGTTATGCCCCCAAAAATTAATAATATGCACATTATGCTTACCATATTTGTAGAGCATGGTATAATGGATCACATATACTATGGTGGCTAAGCCAATTTTAAAGTTAAATCATAAAAAGCCATAGCTAAAACATATTCTTAATTGTGAGTTCTGAGACTTATAAAGTTTACCACACTGTCAATATAGAAACCTTACCTTCAAGTTTTTATTGTACTTGTAATTGCAGTAAGCATCCTCTGCCTTCTCCACTAATTTCTATAAAATGGAATTAAGATACCAAGCTTAATGAGTAGCTCACAAATTAAAGGGGTGTGGAGTATAAGGCCCTAGTAAGTAACTGCTGATGTAAAGTCAAACTCTCCTTGTGTCTCACAAGGGAATACAAGGCAATTTGGAAGGAGAATCTAACAATTTATCAGAAGTCACTTAAAGCTTTTTTCAGGCCCTCTTCAATTTATTAGCTTGTTAACCTCAAATGTACCACTGTTGAGAAACTTAGAACTACATAGATGTACACTTGAACTTAAAATTAGTCTCACAGGACATTCATCTTATATATGGACAAATGTCCTGCTTTTGAAGAAAATGCTGAATGAATAGGTTTGTTTTCGTCTATTGTATATTTCCAGAAAATATCCATAGAGGGATTTTTTCTAACACCTCTCACCCCTCTGGAAATTCCAGTTAAGTTTCATATATTTCTTCATAGCTTTTGGTCTTACAGAACCCCCCTTAACTCCAGGAAATTCCAATCCCTTCTGTTGGGGGAGGATGGATATCTTCTGGAACAGAATTGTGGGATGGGGAATTTAGAGATGTATGTATCAGAAAGTTAAGAATTATTCTTGTGACATGCATATTTGAAATTTTCAGTCTTTAGAAATTGTCAGCTGAGGTCATCTTTGAAAAGAATCCTTTATGTCTGACATCAATACATTTGACTCAGAAAAAGGTGACAGCTGACTATCAGGTATATGACAATATTACAATATTGAAACCATCAACATCACAAAAGAGCTGACCTCTGGAAGTCAAAAGGCAAAGAAAAATCAGCTAAGCAATCTAACCAAAATCATGCAATGGAAGGCAAATAGAGCTGTTCAAATCAACAGCCAAACATTCAAACCATCTGTTCTAACAGTCACAAAAAACCAACAAAAATGGGACATCCCATGCGAGAATTATCTTAAAATCCCTTCTAAAAAATGATTCTCTGTAGATCTTGATGAAAGTCTGTTGGGATCCTCATGTGGATTCTCAAAGATCTTTCAATTTGAAGTTCTTGCACAGATTAAGCTGCAAACATTTTTGAAAATCTTATTGGATCCTTCAAGTCCTTCCAATAGGATGACACAGGATATTGGCTAGTTCTAGTGGTTGTTACAGGATTCTAGTTAGATTCCTGATTCCTTTCTAGGATCTTAAGAGATCTAATATATAAGATTAAGATTTTATAGGATCCTATGGGATCCTTAGTAGGTTTTCACAAGGGGTCAGCCTGGGATCATGTGTTCTTAAGGTATCCCGTGTGGTCAAGTGTTCATTGACACCCTCAATTGATACCTTCAATCGACCCTTGATTGACTCTTTCAATACTTGATCAACACATTGGTTGACACTAGATCGACACTTGATCGACACTCGATTGACATCTCACTCAACAGTCAGTCAAGAGTTGATTAGTTTTTGCAGGCATGCCATTGAGTGTTGATCAATACATGAGTCAATCGACACTCGCCCGACTATCAACAGACTGTCAATCAAGTGTTGATTGAGATGTTGATCGAGGGTATCGATCGAGAGGTATCGATCGACACTCAACCACAGATGACTTGGCTTTAGTACACATGATCTCAAGCTCCTAAAACCCTAACCCTAACCGTAAACCGCACACCAAAGGTTGAGACCTAAACTTACACCTGCCTGTCAGTTTACAGTGGTCACAACTCCGACATAAACTGTCGGAACAGTACCATTTTATAGAAGATGGCAAAGCATTTATGCATGAAACATGATGAGGGCAAAAATTAGTCACACATGAAAATATGTGGCTAAAAGACATAAGTGCAGATTCGTGAATTTATAAAAAAAATAACATTGCTCAAAGTAGCTATAAGTGTTATGTGATGCGCGAATTTTGTTAAAATTTGCTACCCTCTGTTTAGTCATGTAAACACGTAATAATAATATTATCAGTGAGACTTGCAACAAGTTACATATACTCTTGACTTGCCCAGTAATCTTCTCATACAACATTATGACATGACCTGAATTCAAAAGCTGTACATAAACCTTTCAAAAAGTTTTTTTTTTCTGACATCTCTGCCGAGTAAATTATTCTCCTGGGTAATATTTTCCTCCTTATCATTGTGTTGCACATGGATGTTACTGGTAGAACAATATTTCAATAATTTCCAAGCTCTCTTCCCTGCAGAGGCTCTCTAGCTAGGGGAGTGGGGAAAGTGAGAAAAAGAAGAAAGAGGGAATGTGGGAGGGATGGGAAGAGGGAAAAGGTGAGAGGTTTCCCCTTCCTAGCCTTCCCTACACACTTTCCCTCCCCTCTCCCCAGTATCAAAATTGCTTTAAGCCTACAATGCCAAGGCAGCATAAAAGAGGCCTCCATGGGGCAGAGAAACTCTAAACAATCCCTTTAGCCGCAGTTTCTAGTCAGAACTTTAACCACACTATCACGTCACAGTACTCTAAAAGATGCAGAATACTTTTGCAGTCCAGTGATCATTCATTTAACTAATTTTCTCACGAAAATAAATTGTGAAAGTCAACTTTCATTTTTTCTTTTGTATTTACTTTTCTACTCCTTTGCCTTTAATCACTGGAACATACATGTATAAGGGAATATAGTTACCTATGTCAGCTTAATGAATTTTAATATTACATGCAAATTTCTCTCATTCATATATATTTTGTTTCTGAACAAATGGACAGCAGACAAGCTGTCTAGAGCAACAACCCTAATTTAAAACTAAACATAAATCATTATTCCAAATTTTCCAAATTAGTAGTGGTAAATGGCATAGGGGAGGGGGTACATCAGAATTTATAAAGCTCTTTGCAATATAATTTTTTATATATATCACAACAAAGATACAACAAAAATTTAGTATTTCTATAAATGAAAGAGTTCCAAACAAAATTTAATTGCTCCATATTATTTTATAATTATTTAGATCTTTTAGCATATAATTTTCCATCGCCTCTAGACAAGTTACCGAGAGAGCACTAATTTTATTTCACATTGCAAATTAGTTATTTTCATAACAATGTTGACAAAATAGGAAAGCTGAATACGTCTATTTGGTAATCAAAATCCACAATTTCGTAAATAAATGTATTTATCAAAACTGCAAATAGATTTCACAAAAATTTTATAAATCCAGAAATTACAATGACAGTAGCACAATAAAATACGAACAAACCGTGTGAAAAAAATTTTTAACTCTAAGATCCTGGCTAGGATTGTGATTAAGAATTCGTAAGCTTACAAACACAACTAATGTTGCACCGTCACTAAACATATATAGCTTAAATAATAGAATATTTTTCAATTATTCATACGAGCTCCGTTCAGGAAGGAGTTTTGAAATGTTTGCCTGCAGGCTTAAGATCACACTCACTTTAATTTAAATAAAAAAAAACTTTGACACAAATTGAAGCGCGCCGATCAAGTAGGAAGCAGCAGCTTTCGGGAGCGACAAAATAATTTCGGCGCCTCTTCTAGACCCCTTCCGTTTCTGACTGTAAAACTCGAAAAGCTGTCAAATGGGTAAATTTTAAACTTACGAAATCGCGTCTGATTATTCTTAATTTGGCTTTGTAATAAAGAATTCTAAGTTAGGAAAGTATATATGTAAAGTAATTTCAAAACTAAATTATACGATACAAAAACATCGACCGCAAATTTATCAAGGATAATAAGCTCAAGCCGAAAAACATCTTCAGCTGTCGTGAATTTAAATTAAGCTAAAACTAAAGCTTTAACTCCGAAAAATAAAAAAATCCTTCTGCATGGCTCATAAACATTATATCAAAAAGGTATTACCAATGCCAGTTTTAAGGCACTAGAAGATGACAGGAATCGCACAAAAATAATGAAATCGCAACCAGTCTTGTCAATCAGCGCTCCCGACACGAAGTATGATTTCCTGATATAAGGTTCAGGTGAAAGTGCTGTCAATTTACGGGATTGTAAACATTATACGCTGGATTTAATTTCAAATGGATTTTACCTAATCTGTAGCGACCACACCAAGATTTCTGCCTCCATACCTTTAATGAAGATGTCTTGCTGCTGAAGAAAACTTTCATTTCTTCTCTCATTTTGTTGAGAACTTCGTCATGCACCTCTTCTGGCGTCAACGTTAAGTTTTCATATGCCTGTAAGTTCAACAAACTTTGAATGATACTAATAGCTCATCACCATGAAAAACATGAAACGATATGAAATACGAGTCTCGCTGATACCTGTTTTAAGTATTTTGCACCGGTCACATTCTCCGTAAATTCAGCAGCTTCTGATCCGATGCGTTTTGCCCATCTTCTTACCCTAGAGCGTCAAATTTTGAAAATCATTCCTCGCTAGTTTGCGATCAGTTGAGTTAAAACCACAGAGAAGCAGCAATCACAAAAAATATGAACCGCAAAAGAAATCTGGTTCACTTACATGTCGCTTGTCAGTTCTGTTGCGCTAACCCTACAACTAGAGAAGAGTATAAGGCCACAAAACGAACAGAAGTATACGAGAGACTTCTCCGCCATCTTTCGCGTGTGACCACTTAAATGTCAACACCGAAGGCTCAACATCAAGGCCGAAGGCGCACGTCTGCGTCCCTAATTAGATGGATAGGTGAAAACTTGCTTTCAGACTAATTTATCCAGATTTCTTCCTGAGCAATTTAGTTCTCTTAATCGATCTTCACTTGGAGCCTGCAAAAGAAGGCAGTGAATCGCAGAATAAACGTCCACCGGTTAAGCCTGATAACATCAAAAATTGCGACAAAAATAACTATTTTGCAGCGACAAAAACTTTTGTTCTTTCTAACAATACGTTACCCTGCAAGTGTGAAAAAGAAAATTGTCCGAAGCAGCCGCAGGATTTATAAAAGATAGCCAGAAACTCCGAAATTCCTGCTTCTTCGCCTGTGATCTTGTCGGTAAACAACAGCGAAAAAATACCCCACTATTAAAGTTAATGGCCTTGTCATTTGCCTTTTTCTGGAGTGGAAACAAGAAATTCCTGCCGGCAAATTATTTAAATTTGTCTCTGAGCGATTCACAAACGAGATCATTCGGTATTTCAAAAGCTTAAACAAAAGGAATAGTTATTTTCGAGAAGCCAAATGAAGTTCAGCAAGCAGCTGAATGTATATGTTTAGAAAACAGACTAAAGAGTATTCTGCCGACAGCTTTCATTTCCCAAGCCTGGTCATTTCCCTGACAGTCTATTCTGACAGACTCCACAGTGGTAATGAATAATTGATGCATGTTATCCAAATACCGTCGAAAACTTAGAATTATTTACCTTTTTTCCTCGCAAATGATGTCAGGAAAGACAAAATAAAGAGTCTATAAAATATGAGCACGAAGTGCGTTTGAGCTTATCTTTACACAGATATCGATTGCATTTGACGAGGTGCAAAAGAGGAGCCATGCTTTTCCAGCCCTATTCACTGCTCAGCTGGTAAATTATGTGATGTTAAGAAAAAAGTTCAATGCTAATTCAGTTCTGGGATACAGAAGAGCAACCAGCTGTGTAAATACTTTCAACGCTTGCACGTAACTGTGAAACTGTGACCAAATGCATGAAGAGCATGCTTCTATTTTTCCCGCCGAACAGGGGGTGCAATTTTCCACATTAAAAAATAATATTTTCAAATTCTGAAACTACAGTAGAAATCAAATAATAATAATAAAAAAGGTTAGTTTCATTTACTCAGGCACTGAAATATCCAAACAAACTGGTTAAAATAGTGCTGTCAAATAGACACACGAACCGAGACATATATGTACAGATAACCTCTATGCATGAGACAACTTCCAGGTAGGGGCGTACGTTACCATGGTGACGTTTGCGTTCGAGAACTCACCTGCGGACTTTAATAGCTCGTTCTCTCTTTTTCTCTGTTTCATATTTCGTTCGCTCTTTCACGTTTATCCTATTTGATTCGTAGTGTGAGAACGCCTGCATAATACGTACACGTAGGCATAGTAGGTGTTCCCGCTAAGCCACGAATATCCAAATGTATTTTCTCTAAACATTTTACGGTGTCCTCCTTCATGGAAATTATCAAAAGCTTTTCAACTTTGATCATAGAAAAGGCTGTTTGCTAGAGAAGCTGTTTTTGGACCTAAATCTGGTGGGTGGTAACCATGCCAACGAGCACATTTACAAAGCACGTAGTTCGGACAATTCGATTATTGAATCAATACAGCAGGTTGCTGGAAACATTTTTTAGGAAAGTCTGCCTTAATGCTTTCATTCATTTTCATTTTTCATTCATAATGCAAACTAGAGTGGTTCCAAAAGTAGCTTTCTTTTTTGCCAGTTACAATCATTTTGTTTTCACGGACAATATATCCGGCAAGATCTGTAAACATTCTGTCAAGAACGTTATAAAGGACAGCTCCTCGAAGAGGTCATTCATAACTATGTAAGCAAGGTGATCGACATCTGTGTGAACAAAAACGACAGAACGTATTAACAGGTTCCTGGCGAGCTCGTCCCGCTTAGATCGCTTTACTCTCCGAATTATTCAGAATTTCCTCACTGGCCGGGCTTCGCGATCAGGCTAAAATATCAGTAATTATTATACATTGAACTCACTATCTCTTTTCTGATCGGCCGAAAACCTACAGTGGATTTTCGAAATCAGCGCCTGTGACGTCATCTAGCTGCAGATTATCCAATAATCATTTCAAGGACACTCACGGGTAATCATGTCATGCGCGCATGACTGAGGTGCATGATTTGTGTGGTAACAGGACTGAGTGGAGTCCAATAGGCCTTTTGCAGCTAAGCCATCACGTGACCTACTTTTCATAAAAATTATGAGCTATAACGTAACGAATGCCAGAAATTGAAAAAGCATGTTGAAAATATCAAAATGGCCAAGTTTGAGGCCCCCATCATTAAAGACAGAGATTTTATGAGGGTCTAAATTTTTGAAAAAATTAGAAGATTTGTATGGAAAATGTTGTTTTTCCATACAAATCTTCTAAATTTTCGGAAAATTCAAAGTGTTGTATAAACTTACATCTTTAATTCCAGGGTCCTCAAACTTGGCCATTTTAATATTTTCGATGCGCTCTTTCCATTTCTGGCATTCTGTCAGCTATAGCCCATAATATAAAAAATTTCTAGGAAAAATTTGGTCACGTGACCCGAGCTCAATTGGCCTATTCGGTCGGTTATCATAAGAGTGATAAGAAAATCGAACGACCGCGCAGAGGGAGTCCGATTTGTTTATCACGAGTATGACTACAGACCGAATTTGATGACACGAAGTCTTATTACCAATTAATCATAAAAATTACAATTTCCGAGAAAAGAAGAATTGACAAGTTATGAAAGAAAGGGAAAATTTGCATTAAAATACCTACAAAAGAGATGTAAACATTCTAAGGCCACTGCGCCCCCTACCGGCAATTAGGCGCCAAAAACACAAAAGCGCACGCACGCACGCACGCACGTAACTACAACTTTGAATGTGATTGGCTTATTGAACTGTCCGATAACAAACTGTCCAATAACAAACTTTATTATATGGCTAGCTCCGCGAGCG